TAGCCAATTAACAGACTCATCTCTGACAGAAAACATGTTTGTGAAACAGGAATCTGCTTCACATCTTACAAGAGTGTACCTTTTACCCACTGCTACTGTCACTCCCTCGTAGCACAAACGTCTCTTTGATTTTCTTGGGCAAAATGCTTTCAAATATGTTTCAGTTTTAATTTTAATTCGAGCTGCCACATAAGACGGACCGATGTTAAAATCAAACCTCGTCTTTTTGTGACACTCGTCTCACATTGTTCTTCTAATATCCGAGGGCGCAGCTCTACCTGTCCGACCTCGGGGATGCTCCTGGCACTCCCCCGTGAATAACGTGGCTTCCTGTTATGAGCTCAGTGTGCTCGCTGGCTATAGAACACAATGGCAACAAATTAAATTTTTAATGAGCATATTCTATAACACATGGACTTCAAAGTCGGTGCAGCGTTGCATATCACTCAACTCAGCAAGTTTAAGCCAATGGTCTGTTAAAGCTCCATTACCTGTTTAAGCAATCGAGTGATAGCGCATCAACAAAAGGGCAAACCAATTTCAATGTTTGGTCAATTATTTCCAATCTGTTTAACAGAATTGTTTGAAACAGCTAAGCTGATGTTGAGTACAGATAAAAAAACCCTGAGGTCCAACCAAGCTCTCTTGGGAAGGGTGGCCACAAGCACGCCCCCAAAAAGACAGAAAACATCATTTTTTTTGGCTTAGGTCAGGAGGTCAGCGTCTGAGCAGCCAGAGAAAACAGATAAGATGAGAGATTGCCAAAGGGAAAGTGACAGCGCAGTGCTGGGATTCTTCCTGCCATGCAGTGGCTCTGGGTTGAATCCGTCCAACCGTCTTTCCCCAACAGAAAAAAGACACGGAAAAAAAAAAAATGAAGATTGCAAAAAAAATTCAAAACTAGCTGGGCAACCAGAATGAGCTCCCATAATCCCATTCTTTGGAAATGCCAATCTGCTTGCTTAAGAATTCCAGTCCTGCTGATACAGTACATATGCTTATGCTCTTCACACACACACTCTCTGATTTGATTTAGGGCCAAACCTGGTCTGCTAGGGGGTTCAATCCGGCCCACATGAAGAATTTTGAAAAATAAAAACTGCATGAACACTATATATTTGTGATATTTTGTAAAGGTATATTTCATTAAATATAAATAGATAAAAAGAATAAATATCTAATACATATACTTATTGTTATTTACAGGTAACTGTCTTATGATTGTACCGGTCCAGCCCAGTTGACATCTAACCAGGTGAGTGTTGACAATATGGTGTAGAAGTAAAAGAAATGACACTTGAGAAAAATGCAGAAATATTTAAGCCACGCAGCAGGTTAATAATTTACTATTAATGTGCAGACTTAGACCTAGATCATAGATTACATAAACGGAATTGGTCCTGTCCTCTGTTAGCATTAGAAGGTTAATAATTTACTATTAATTTGCAGACTTAGACCTAGATCCTAGATTACATAAACGAAATTGGTCCTGTCCTCTGTTAGCATTAGCATAGTGTGTAAGTGTTTTTGATAATGGAACTGTAGTTTGTAAATTCATAACAATTCCGATACACATTCAAAACAGAGGAAATCTGAAACCAAAAATGTTGTTGACAAAGGTCAACGTTGCAGGTTGCACTTGGAATGCAAATCAAAATTCATGGTGCATTACTGTATAATATTACAAAAATAAGATTCTAGATCTGGAAAACAAAACCACCTCTTTTAGGTTCGCTAATGTACCGGCTTCTTCTAAACCTAATAAGTGAGTAAAGTCATCCCTTCATCATCCTGATGCCATCCTGAACTTTTAAATTAGGACATTAGCGACTACAGCCAGAAGCCTAAGTACACACCACCATCTCGCTCATGATGTAATCTGTCATTAAAATGGCGTCCATCGTCCCTTTCGGTAAACAGTGTATCGCTAAACACCGCGCTGTGCGATCACTGTGCGCGAACATGGCATCGCTGCTCATCTTGTGCCATCAGAGCGTTCACTCATTAAGCGAGTCTTAATTTTTCGCATGTTCATAGATTTATGGATGTTGCTGGAAAGTCGGACTTTGGCACAGAACGGACCATAATCAAAATCAAAGCACATATTTTATGGTCAATGTATTTCAGCAACAGCATTTGGTTTAATTATCTCTGTGTGTGGGAGTCTTCATTGTTAGTCACAGTCTGCCATTCAAACCCCAAAGCCAAATTTCACTGAAAAAACAGGAGGGATTTTCTTAAAAAATGTCACAATTCGCATGATTTTATTATAATATTGGACAATAACGCTGTTTTGTTTGGTACTTTGCACCAGTCATTCCCAGTCTGCAGTTCTGGATCCACAAATTATTCATGTGAGATTTTTTAGTGGGAGACCAAATAAATTACCAGATTTTTTTTAAGCCTTTCTGTTAAGTTTTATAATACAGTGGTTTTCAAACTTAATTCCTTCCTGAAGGCCATTCATGAACCGAAAAGTTTTGAACACTGAAACAATTTTTCCCATAGGACTCTGGCTTTCATATCGCTGTAGCTAGCATTGTTAATTTTTTAACATGTTTTTTCAGATGATTTTGCTAACTTTATTATAAATTAAGCTGTATTTTGTTTTCTGTGGTCATTGATTTTACATAATGCAGCTTGTGTTGCTTTATCTTTTAGTTAACATTTTAAGCATGATTTGGTTGTGGTTTTGCTAATTTAAGATGCTAGTCGGGCTTAGCTTTCATTTGAATTATTTTTTATTGTTATTGTTGTTTCTCTAACTTGAACTAATGTATTTTGGCTATAAGATTTGTTAAATTTTCTTCTTTTAGCAGCTACCTTAGCGTTGACATCTACCTTAGCTATGACATAAGTTAGCTATGACAATGTTTTATTATTTTGTCGCCTTTGTTGTTTATGTTATTGTTGCTTCTTTAGCTTGAACTAATATATTTTGTTTTATATTATATTTATATAAAACAATAATATATTTTTAATATATATATATTTAATAATAATTATTTAATATTTTTGGCATATTTAAGATTAGATTTGAAATTTTTTGTCCGTCTTGCAGCTACCTTAGCGTTGACATCTACCTTAGCTATGACAAAAGTGCTAATTTTCCTTGTTTTATCTACTCACTGTCAGCATCCAAATACTCTTTAGAACTGTTGTTCAAATTAAAAAAGGAAAACATACACTATGACCAGGGATATACAGTAAGTCTTTAGTCGGATTCAGTTACTGTTTTGAGAATTACGTATAGTCAACAATGTTGTGCAACACCGCGATATTTCATCGACCTCTGCTGGCGGAAAAAACCCAGTGGAGACTAGATCTAAAAAAAATACGACTTAAAAGTAAACAGAATCCCGCCTCCAGCCTTATGTCAAAACATCTTGGTCTCTACTGCATTTGAAGCCGGAGCTGCAGTTGCTGATGTGCGGTTTCACAGATGTCCTTTACACTCCTAATGTTTGTCTCTGCAAGTACAAATTAAGGATGTCTCTCCCCAGTGTGTGGGCACACAGACTTCATGAAAATGATGTGCACTCTACAGAAACGCTGGCAGCCTTGAGATGAGGCATAATCACAGTGGCTGATGTGAGTGCAGCGCTTGCAATTCTTGTGTTCATTAGGATTAAAAAACAGATTATACATCAAGTTGACACAAACAGAAGTTTTTATAGTCTGGCCTAATTAATCACTCCCTGACACGCGCTAACATCTAATGAGGTATCAAAATTGTAAATAGTTCATCATATAAGCAGCCTGTTAAATCGGAGTTATGTACACGTCTCGGCGTGTCCTCTGTCAATAAGATCGCATTCGAAGCCGACAATTAAACAAATAACTCTTACCTGGTGGATGTCAAAAATAGCATGGCAGTTTGTGAACTACAAAAAAGAAAATAAATGAGATACTACAGAACTACAAAAAAGAAAATAAATGAGATGTATTACTAGTGTTGTTGCTGTAACATCCTCTAATATCAGGTTCAAACACCAAGAGATTTCAACTTGGACTAAATTTCAAATACAAATTTTTTGGTGTTGCACCGTATAGCATTGTAAGACTGGGTTGCTACCCTCAGGTGGGTCGCAAGAGATTGTTTTGGGGGTCGTCCCATTTCTTTTTTCCATTAGCGAGGTATTCCATCCTGAATGACAAAAGGTGGATCTAAAATCCCTTTGAATTTGAGAGTCCGGAATCTTTGCTTGAATTGACACTTAGTCCAGCAGGAGAAGCTGAGTTGTTGACTTAAATGTCAACATACATGGAATTTGACGAGTAAAATCAACCGGGAGTCAAATTCAGTTCTGTTTATTAAAAGGACACAGACTAATCCAGTACTTCTTAAACAGTGGGGCGGGCCCCCTTCGGGTGGCGTGGTGATTTGCTGGGAGGGCTGTAATGCTTGAATGATAACAAGCCTCCATTCCAGTAGGTGGCAGCAACTCTTACAGTGGTAAAAATATACGTTATCAGGTTCTCAATAGTATTTTGATTCGCGGATGTGTGAGTCGGGGGGTGAAAACATTTCTGTATCCAAGTGGGGCTGGGGGGGCGTGAAAAAGGACAACTAATAATAATTGCTACGTATAGTAACGGACTGTTCTCTCTTTCTTAAATCCACTTGTTTATGTCTAATAGAGCAGCGCAGGACTTTATAATGAGAATGAAATGCTGCAGTGTCCTGTCATTATTTTTGACACCGCAAAAGCTTTTCGTTGCCAGCTTTCCACTGTGTGAGCAGCACAGAGTGCCAAAACAGCGATGACTGAAGAGCGCACAATGGAGGCTTGATATGTGTCCCCCGAAGAACGCATCATGCCATGACGTTATCCTGCCATAACCACCGGTACCATGTCATCGGCAGCATATAAAAACATCCATCACACTCCCTCATCAGGCCAGCAGAAAACAGCTGCCTTTTCAGAAGCACGTCTCTAGAACAGACGTAGGCATTTGGAACTAAAATAACAACATTGTCCCCCATGCTTTGAAGGGAACAACAAGGATTTTTGCTTTGTTGTCAGTTGTGAAAGGACTATAAATGTTCTAACACAGTAAGGGTTTTTTTGGGCATTTTTTTTTCTTTTATATTCATTTGGTTCAAAATATAATCTAATGGAAAAATATTCAGCTCAGGTTCAAAATATAATCTAATGGAAAAATAGCCATAACCGTTCCTTATGTTTCCGTAAAGTTGGCCAGAAATGCAACATAATAAATGACCCCAGGTAATATGATTGCTACACCGTACATGCTAACTGCTAGCATCTTCATATTATTTCCTAGCATTGAGCTAGCTGACTTTTTTTTACCAGTTTAACATGTTGTATGTCATTGCTTTCCAAAGACTGGGTTGCGACGCTCAGGTGGGTCCCGAGAGGTTTTGTTTTTGGGTCGTCTTGCATCATGTTTTCAAGGAGTTTACGAATGTTTATTGACTTGGGTCGCGAAGCTTTGTGACTTGTGAGTTTCGGAAACACTGTTGTATGTGATATGTGTTAGATGAATACAATTTCGGTGTTATGTTTTTTTTAGTTTTAAAGTTATCCCTATTTAAGGTTGAAAAAGAATATTAAGCATCGTTATTGGGAAACGATGTTCGCTATCTGCCGAGCTAGCGTAGCAGGCTGAAGGATGCCAAACACACATAAGCAGGGTGCAGAAAACATATATTTAATATACTTTTTTTTTGCTTATAGAAGTCTGATTGATTGGATCTGATTGGATTTAGAGAAGGAACATGATAGGTTGCCGTGGGAGTTACGAGACAGTCATGAGTGACATATGGGTTCAAGGTTTTGAGGTGTCTAATTGTCTTTTTTTGTCCTACTGCCTATTTGATAATATTGCATGTGTATCACCAGTTCACAAATGTATGTTTTTATGCTATTTTAATTAGGGTTTAAATGTCTCAGGGGCATCTTTCACTAAGTCAGTTCTCATCACAAGGAGAATGGTAATTTCATCTGCTACAGAACATCTGTGACCTTCTTTTTTCTTCTTTTTCTCCGTCCTTCTTCTTGTGGATGGTCGGTTCGACGTGTGTTCATCCACCCTTTAAGAAACAAGCTCTCCCTCCCACTCCATTT